TCAAACCACCATTTCAAAGAAGCTCCTTATCCCAGCGCCATGTCAGGTGAAGTGGTTTGGTGTCGCCATGTAGGGAAGACCGCAGCTCAGCAGCCCCTCGCTGTGGAATTGCGACAAAGTGGAACTCCAAAAAAAAGGGAGAAAAACAAGGACATCATTGATGATAATTGATGATGTTTGGATGATGCTTGATGGTTTGGACGATTCTTGATGATTGCTGGTGATTTTGATGCCCTTCAATTGATCTGTTGATGATGTTTAATTCATATTTGATGAAAATCAATGGAGCGTTTGATGACCCTGACGAAGAAATAGGTTGAAATGCTAGGTCCAGAATCAAATTCAAGCAGATTGAAAGTTGAAAAACAACTGCCATGTCAAATTGGAATGATTCAAACCAAACAATAACTTCCTTTCTGGATCCTTTCTGTATGAGGTTAGATGATCACCAAAGGGCATCCATGAATTGCAATGATAGTGTCGTGCCCAAAAGATCTTATTTGGGCCATTTTTGACATATGCTTGCTCAACTCTCATCCGTTGACCGGAGGACACGTCCTCCAAAGGTGTCGCTGTTTGGTGATTCTGATTTAGTCGTTAAAACATCCCACAAGATGATTGAAACATACTGAAACGGCATCTGATATGTGGATACAATCTAAAAAAGGGTACTGTAGCGGCGCAGCGCACGTCATGTGACATGTGACATATATTGTGAGTATCTGTCATGGGTGAAATGATTATACTATGGTATTTCACATTATTTCACTATGATTATTTGTGATAATCTATGACAACCTATGAAAATCTACGTTTATCATGTACAAATCTTAGTTAATAACTTATGATTCTAGATGTATTTTTGCAGGAAATGAAGAAACTTTCTGAAAAAAACCTGAGGTTGTGGGATTCCTTCCTGTCGCTGCGCCGGAGGCCCAGGAATGTCCTCGGAAAAAAGGCCATTTCAATAGGAAAACGGATGGAAAACGGATGGAATAGGGTACCATGATGTACCATGCAATTTCAGGTAAATCGGAAAACCATGAAAAGAAAATGCAAAACCAGCAATCTTTGGCAAAGCCACTGCAATCCACAAACCATCGCCTATCCAGAATCACAACCATCTGCAATGGCGGCTTAAACCATCCAGCATCCACAACTCTAGCGATCCTGCGTCAGGAAGGTCATGGCCGTCGTTTCCCCTCGTCCATAATGAAGCAGATTTTCTTAGGTGCACTTTCTGGAAACGGGGCCCACCTACCCTCCACCAATGCAGCAGAGTTGATGATGGATTGGTCGTGAAACTCAGTGCTGCTGTGGATACTGTCCCTTGAAGAATATCTCAACAGGTAGGAATGATGTTTCCTGTTTTTTCCCAAAGTGTTGCATGGGTTTCTTCTTCAACGATATGAAGGATTAGTATGACGTTTTTTAGGCAAGCCGCAATTCGTTTAACCGATTCTATGCATTGCAGAATGCTGTGCCCTCGGTGATCAAGCCTGGCAGTGCTTACCAGAAAATTCTAGAAACATGCAGGAACCTAAATCTGTGCATACATACATACATACATACATACATACATACATACATACATACATACATACATACATACATACATACATACATACATACATACATACATACATACATACATACTACATACATACATACATACATACATACATACATACATACATACATACATACATACATACATACATACATACATACATACATACATACATACATACATACATACATACATACATACATACATACATACATACATACACACATACATACATACCTGCATACATGCATACATGCATGCATGCATACATGCATACATGCATACATGCATCCATGCATACATGCATCCATGCATACATACTTACATACATACATACATACATACATACATACATACATACATACATACACACATACATACATACCTGCATACATGCATACATGCATGCATGCATACATGCATACATGCATACATGCATCCATGCATACATGCATCCATGCATACATACTTACATACATACATACATACATATATACATCCAGTTATATATATATACATATATATATATATGTCATTCCCAGCTGCAATTACTGAAGAGCAGAATCTCTAGACGGTGAGTGAACGAAGCCTCGAGAGTTTATGGATTCCTCCCGTAGCATCCCGGGATCGCTGAGATGGGCAATGTGGGTCAATGGTTTGGGGGTAGCCTTGTATGAAACCTTCATATACCATATCAATCCATATCTGGTTGGCTGTTACTAAAATATACCATATCATACAAGCTATGCCGTATGCTGTGCCACAGGCTTATAGACTCCAATGGATGGTACAGTAGTTTACGCTTATCAATTGGATCTTTCTTAAGGATGAGCTATTCCTATTTATACCTCTTAACTTATCTCTGATTGGTGGTTTCAAACATTTGTTATTTTCCATAATATATGGGATAATCCTTCCCATTGACTAATATTTTTCAAGACACGGGACTTTGCAGCCAATTTAGCCGATGTTTTTTGGCACATGACATGGGATTTATGTATCGATTTTGCTATGGATTTTTTTTACACATGACATGGGAGTTATGCGCCGACCTAACGGGCAGGTATTTTTCCATTTTATTGACAGATGACATGGGAATAAGTGATCAAATTTACACATGACATGGGACTTCCAGGAAGACACAGACGTCCAAGATGGGAAATGGCAGGTAAATTCCTTTAAATTCCTCCAAAATCTTGTGTTTTTTTAATTCCTTAAAAAACCTTAAAAGTCCTTTAAATTACTGTATATTCCTTAAAATTCTTTAAAAATGCTTTACATTAATTAAATTTCCTTTAAAATCCTTTAAATTCCTTAATTCCTTAAAATTCCCTTAAACTCCTTTAAATTCCTTAAAAGACGAATTTACCACATAAAATGGCACTTCCAATTCCTTTAAATTCTTTTAAGTCCTTTAAATTCCTTTAAATTCTTTTATATTCCTTTCAATTCTTTTAAATTCGTTTAAATTCGTTTGAATTTATTAAAATTTCCTAAAATTCCTTGAAATGCTTCCAAATTCCTTTAAATTCCTTAAAAGACAAATTTATTTACCACATGACATGGGACTTCCAGTTCCTTAAAATTCCTTCAAATTCTGTTTAATTTCTTTAAATTCTTTGAAATTACTTTAAATTCCTTTAAATTCCATTAAATTCCTTTAAATTCCTTTAAATTCCTTGAAAGATACATGACATGGGTCTTCCAATTCCTTAAAATTATTTTAAAATTCCTTTAAATTCTTTTAATTTCCTTTAAATTCCTTGAAACTCATTTACATTCCTTTAAATTCGTTTAAATACTTTAAAATTCCCTATTTGAAAAAAAAATCCTTTAAATCCCTTTAAATTCCTTAAAAGACGAATTTACCACATGACATGGGACTTCCAATCCCTTTAAATTCTTCCAAATTCCTTTAAATTCCTTCACATTCATTAAAGTCCCTTTAAATCCTTTAAAAGACGAATTTACAACATTACATGGGACTTCCAATTCCTTAAGTCCTTAAAATTCCCTTAAATTGCTTTAAATTCCTTAAAAGACGAATTTACCACATGACATGGGATTTCCAATTTCTTAATTCCTGAAAATTCCCTTAAATTCCTTTAAATTCATTAAAAGACGAATTTACCACATGACATGGGACTTCCAATTCCTTTAAATTCCTTTAAATGCCCTTAAATTCCTTTAAATTCCTTAAAAGACGAATTTACCACATGACACGGGACTTCCAATTCCTTTAAATTCCTTTAAATGCCCTTAAATTCCTTTAAATTCCTTAAAAGACGAGTTTACCACATGACACGGGACTTCCAAATCCTGAAATTCTTTTAAATTCCTTTAAATCCCTTTAAATTCCTTAAAAAACGAATTTACAACATGGCATGGGACTTCCAATTCCTTTAAATTCTTTTAAATTCCCTTAAATTCCTTAAAAGACGAATTTACGATATGACATGGGACTTCCAATTCCTTTAAATTCCTTTAAAATCTTTAAAATTGCTTTAAATTCTTTGACATTCCTTAAATTCATTTAAATTCCCTTAAATTCCTTTAAATTCCTTGAAAGATGAATTTACCACATGACATTCCCTTAAAATCCCTTAAATTCCTTTAAATTCCTTAAAGGACGAATTTACCACATGACATGGTACTTCCTATTCCTTTAAATTCTTTTAAATTCCTCTAAATTCTTTGAAATTCATTTTAAATTCCTTAAAATTCCCTTAAATTGCTTTAAATTCCTTAAAAGATGTATTTACCACATTACATGGGACTTCCAATTCCTGAAATTCCTTAAAATACCTTTAAATTCCTTTAAATTCTTTTACATTCCTTTAAATTCTTGAAAAAATTCTTTAAAGTTCCTTGAAATTCCTTAAAATCCCTTTAAATTCCTTAAAAAACAAATTTACCACATGACATGGGACTTCCAATTCCTTAAAATTCCTTGAAATTCCAGCTGCTCAGCTCCGACCCGCCCGGACAGTTTTTCCAAATAGTTGCTGAATAGCTTCGAAATAGCTGCTAAGTAGCTGCAAAATAGCTGCTAAGTAGCTGCTAAATAGCTGCTCAATAGCTGCTAAATAGTTGTTGAGTAGCTACTAAATAGTTGCTAAATAGCTGCTAAATTGCTGCTAAGTAGCTGCTAAATAGCTGCTCAATAGTTGCTAAATAGCTGCTAAATAGTTGTTGAGTAGCTACTAAATAGTTGCTAAATAGCTGCTAAATTGCTGCTAAGTAGCTGCTAAATAGCTGCTCAATAGCTGCTAAATAGCTGCTAAATAGTTGCAAAATAGTTTCCAAATAGTTGCTGAATAATGGATAAATGGCTTCCAAATAGTTGCTGAATAATTGATAAATGGCTTCTAAATAGCTTCGAAATAGCTGCTAAATAGCTGCTAAATAGCTTCGAAATAGCTGCTAAATAGCTGCTAAGTAGCTGCTAAATAGCTGCTAAGTAGCTGCTGCTCAATAGCTTCTAAATAGCTGCTAAATAGTTGTTGAATAACTACTAAATACAGTAGGTGCTAAATAACTGCTAAATAGCTGCTAAATAGCTTCGAAATAACTGCTAAATAGCTGCTAAGTAGCTGCTAAATAGCTGCTCAATAGCTGCTAAGTAGCTGCTGAATAGTTGTTGAATAACTACTAAATAGGTGCTAAATAGCTGCTAAATAGCTGCTAAGTAGCTGCTAAATAGCTGCTCAATAGCTGCTAAATAGCTGCTAAATAGTTGCAAAATAGTTTCCAAATAGTTGCTGAATAATTGATAAATGGCTTCCAAATAGTTGCTGAATAATTGATAAATGGCTTCTAAATAGCTTCGAAATAGCTGCTAAATAGCTGCTAGATAGCTGGCAAATAGCTGCTGAATAAATGCTAAAGAGCTGCTAAATAGCTTCTGAATAGCTGCTAAGTAGTTGCTAAATAGAACAAGGAGGTGAATGGATTCATGTGACTTTGGAATATTCTAACTGCTGACGTATTATTTTGGATTCTTCCAACTGCTAGTAGGTAGTCATGCACTAATATACTATCTTTGTTCATGTGAAATGTACAGTGTGTGAGTTAGTTGACATGACATGTTTTGCATCTTTTTGGATGCAGAGGTCCCATGTCATGTGTTTTTTTTTCCGATGCACTTTACAGATGACACGGGACTTATGCATTTTTCTGTTTTTTCACTTTGCAGATGACATGGGAGTTTGCGTTTTTTGGGTATGTCTGACAACTCCCATGTCATCTGCAGGTACTATAAGACCACCAACCAGATATAAATCCATATGATACATACACCCTTGCTCGTTGCCCCTTGTTGGATGGCACGGACATCACAGCAAGGCCTGGAACTGTTTGGGAACGTGTGCTTCAGCAGCTGCAAGATCCATGTATCATCTCAGGCACCCTCTGCGCAGCTGTGCAGTGATAATAGGGGTAGTCTAGTAGAACCAATTCGCAGGTTTTGGATGTTCAGATGTTTTCGGAAAATCCAGGTGGAACACCATCATTTGTTGCATTGATTTCTAGGCGGCTCATCGCATGTGGACGGTGAGGGACAAGTTTGAATGCGGTTTAACATAAAGGACCAGACCTTTTAATGGGAAAGTTGGATTTTTAAACAGTGTACAGTGTCGCCTTGCAGCCTGATTGATTCTAGGTAGGGTCAAAATCACATTCACGGTCGCATGCTGGCACTAACTCGGCCTGCTTGCAATTCAGATTTGGACAATCGGGAAATGGACACGGTCAAGTACTGTCAAAATGGAACCATATCGAACCAAGAAACGATCATGCTGCATGTCTGAACTGTGTTGAGTTTGTATGCGGAACACGGCATGATGGATGATCACTGTGTAAACAGCGGTGATAGAAAGCAAAGTCAAAGTGGGGCTTTGCGTGCAATCGATTATGGGTCGGGTCGCAATTGCATTCATTCCCCGAGAAAATTGCCACAACGATGGATCCTAGAAAGGGGTATGTTGCATGCTTGAACTTTTTGAGGTTTATATTTCACAGAAATCATGAGGAAACAAGACCCATCACAATCACCACGGCTTTGGGCGACCACATTGATTGTTCGACGAAGATTAGGACACAAGATAGGACAAAAGACCAGACAATGTCAAAGCTGTGTGTTGGGGGAGGCAAATTGGGCCCCAGGAAGGTCAGACGAAGAACACCCAAAAGACCAGAGTGGATATTTGGGCAAAAGAAGAACACAAGATGGGACAAGATGTCCATCAGTCAAGGGATGAGGACTGATAAGGTCAAGGTCGAACAAAAATCAAAGAGGAAAGCTGTCTGCAAGACAGACACGGTTGGCATTGAAAAGGGCAGTGGAAGAACATTAGAGTCTTAGAGGACAAATGGTTCGAAAGGGACACGTCTGACATCGAGAAAAAGTCAGGAGAGAAAAATGTTTTGGGCAGACAGAGAGGGCATTGTGAAAGTTGAAGAAGAGCATCAGGAGCAAGAGATGAAGGTGAATTAAGGTCGAGACAAGAAAAAATATACTGTGGAAAAACTTTGGGGCTGGCACGTTGGGCAGCGGGAAGGGCAGGACAAGATCACGACTCGCGACGAACAGAAACTATAAGTACCAATACGTAGGTGTTGGACCTCGATATATTTGAAAATGGGGTATACCCGGTATACCCCAATGATGGCCAGTTTAATTGGGGAGATGATGAGTAATGGTGAACCGGTCAGTGGAATTAGGGGTTCCCATAGCACCCCTCAACGCTACTGCACCTGGTTGTTGTTCGGCCAGGAACAGCGGTGGCGATTCTTTGCAGCTGTCGCAGCATGTACAAATCAAGCACATTGGGTGAGAAGAAGTTGTGGCAGATGCTGCTTGGCCTTTCACTTGAAGATTGGCATGGAGTTGATGATTCGATTGCTTGCTGCGCATTCTTCTCTGGCTTGAAGTAACCAAAGAAAAAGTTCAGGTGAGTGCAACAGTGCGACCAGCAGAAGTTCAGGAGGCCTACCAGTGTGTGTATATATATATATACCAAAACTGGGAGTTGACCAACAAAGCTGGGCCTTTCTCCAACAAAAGCCGGCATATGGATGGTTCTTATATAATTAATTGGGGTACCCGTTTTCTCCATGCATTTCCCTATTGGCTTTTGGTATGTTCGCTTTTGGTAAATCAAGATAGCTATGGAGAATCACCATTATGCATAAGTAAATCATTTGTAAATGGACCATTTTCCGTAGCTATGTGAAATTGCTGGAGGATAAGCGCAGCAGTTGTACGATTTGGAGCTGAGGTTGGCCAACTCTGCCACTGATTGGCCCAGCCTTCCAGCGGAGGAGGCAACTGTGGGTCCATTTCAATGGTTCTGGGTTGGGTTTGATGTAGGCACAATTGGATCCATGGTTTCATGATGTTTCATGTTTCAATACAAGAATATATAAGATAAAATTGGTGCATGTGGATATGTGTATATCAGTCAACAATGCTGGGGCCCAACAGTGGGGAAGGAGGTTGAGACCATGAAAAGGGCAATTTGAGGGTTTTACCTCAGTTTTGGACACATTGCTGGGTTCTGGTATTCAGCAACGCCAAGCTTGTGAAACTATTGCAGACAACCACAAGCACGCGAACCCTCCCAACCCCTTTGCCATCAGGAACCATTGCAGGGCTTCACCAAACTGGCACAGCACGTGAAGCTTTATCGGCTCTGTTGGGCTGTCACCTGGCTGATTTGAAAAGATGCGTGAAAGATTAGGCTTGCTATATCATCATAGGCAAGAAGACGCGGCCGAAAGCTCAACCCATCGTTTTCAACTTGGAAAAGGTTTGTTAGTGGATGGGGGGGTGCACTTGATGTTGTCTTCCCAGGCAAGGAGAGCTGGTTCCGATAAGGCGTTGTTTAATATTGCATATACACTATATACCCCAAATTCAGTAGTAAATCATATTCAATCATCGTAATCCCCATTACGCATATACTGTATATAGATGGCCAGAAATTCTCTGTAAATTCCAGATGCTCAGACAAACCACAATGGGATCTTAGGCTTGCCAGAGCTCTCCCCAGAAGTTGTCGGTTCCAAAACAAGGGCCATGCCTTTCCCCAGAGCAGGTATTTTGATAACTCGCAAGGGCCCCCTTAATGGTGGATTTAATTCATGTTAGATTGTTTTACACCCACATCATGCGTGCCTGCGCTGGATCATTCTGGAGTAAACCTTAGCACGGCAGTTGTGGCAAGTCATTGCAGACGCCATGACGATTACTGTAGTAGACTAGCCAACACTTCTGCCTTGAATTCTCTTATTGTGAAGACTTGAGGACAAGCCATGCAATGACCCAGCTCTGCAACATGCTCCAATGGTTCGGGATGCGGCCGTTATGGTCCTGGTTGCAGGCGATGCTCGACACACCCGGGTCTCCCAAGACTGAAGCAAGGTGTGGAGGGTGGCTACTGGATGATGGATGTCCATTTCATTACGTTCGGGGATAGACATTCACTGGCTAGTAGGGATTGTAATATCTCCAATGGGAGAACGTGGGTTTGCTGTCAGAATAACTGAATCCTGTCCATTGGCCATTGCAGACTATATCAAGAACACCTCACCCGCAACTATATTGCATCGGATGTGTTCATCCAGCTTCGCCCAACTCCGCACTCCATCCCATCGCTTGTAAAGGGAACTCCGAGACAATGAAACTAATCCATGTCCAGTCGTAAAATCAGCTGGAAACATCTGAAGTCCAAGCCATGTTTTTGAATATCTATGTTCATCCACATCCCATGCGTATCCCCACATTAAACTCAAATTGCAATAACAAGTTCAGAAAGATGTCCTATCAACATATCTACATTGTACATCCCCATCCTCATCATCAGCATTTGGGAACGGCTCAAGATGACTGTGTATACCCCCTAAAAATGGACCAAATCATGTTGAATAGTTACTGAATAACCACCAATGATTTGTGGGTCCGTGGGTACCCCATTCCCATCCCCACCATCCCAGAAATGGATGAGTACATTCCCGATTTGTTTGATGGTTATGGCTCTTAATAATCTTAATATCATCATTTTTGAAACTGATGACCGTATTATTCCCATGTTGAAAGCTCATTATCATGTGATTCCACCGTTTGAAGGTTGTCATCCCCATAGCAGGTTTCACCCCTAGATTTCATGCTTTCACCCTGTATTCTGCTGTTTACAAATTGGCTGATCATGTTTGATCAGGTTTGATCATGTTTGTTCATATGATCCCATGAAACATCGTGATTTGGAATAATTGGGAATGTGAAACATGGGGACACATATATCATGTTTAAAGGTTATATTGGGTACAAGGTGTGCCCCACAGTTATACCTTGGTTTATCGACCCATTAATTAACTAGTTGGATTTTCCAATCGTAAATTAATAAGTCGTTCTTACGCCTGATTAGTAAGTCCCCTAGCTGGGGTTATCACATACATATATGTATGCATGTACATATCTATCCCTCTATATATATATATATATACATATGCACTGGTGAACGAACTATGGTTACTGACTAGTTGCTACATCCAGTAAATGGTATGATCATCCATAACGTATCCAGATTATCTCTCATTATATCCCCCTTATACTACCAGTTTTGTTGGTTAGATATATTCCCATTCATATCCCCATGCATCTCGGATCATGTGCAGTTAACTCACCCTGGTTCTTGGCTAAATCCCATTTATATAATGACCATTTTTTCTTGGTTAGATCCAATCTATAGGAATCACCATGTCTCTCAGTTCAATCCCATAAAGTTGTCATGTTTCTTGCTTAAATCCCATCCTTTTTTTTCAAATCTGAAATCGCCAGTTTTCTTGGTTCAATAGTTCAATCCCATGACACCAATTCTAATGGTGAAATCAGTGAAATCCCCAACCTTGGTTCCTATTGATCTCCCCTCTCTCCGGGCGAGGCGTTTCCACGGCACGCTGCACGTGGAGGTGGGCTTCGAGGTCACGGCGCTCCGCGGCAACGCGCAGCTCACCGTGGCGGCCTCGCGGCGAAGCAACGAGCTGCGACTCTTTCAGCGCGCCCCGGGGTCGTTGGAAGAATGTCTGCCCAATATGGGGGTTTCCTAAGTCACGGGGTATCCCAAGCTGAATGGTTTACAATGGAAAATTCTATTTAAATGGATGATGACTGGGCTTACCCCCATTTTTGGAAACCTCCATATGATGGTGGATGGGCATGCGGTGTACCCACAGATGTCCAGTTTCAATGGTGAACAATCCCAGACTGCAAATCTACAGTAAGTGGTACACCTTGTCTGAGAATTTCATGTCGATATATGATGCGTGTGATGGCATACATAGAAGAATATTATATATATACATATATATAATGTATATATATTTACATATATATATGTGTGTGTTTGCACATATGTTTTCGAAAATACTGTGTTTACATGTGCATATAGAAGGAACTATACATACATACATGTGCATGAATTTCTAGTGCATGCAAACTGAGTACACATCATAGAGATAGATATGCCAGCATAGAATATCACATGATCGTATTGCATGACCGTGCTACATTTGATCTTGAACGATGCAGATTGCAGAGGAAATGTGATATTGCCATTGCCAATACAGGTTGCTTGTATGTTTGCATATGTTTGCCAAACGGGCATGGAAGTTTGCTCCTCCAAGCAGCTCAGCAGCAGGAGCCGCGGCTTGGGTCGCCTCCCCACACTTCGTTTGGATCGTCGCGTGGACGCCTTGGATTTGGTCTCGGAGAACGATGTCTTGGTGGCAGGCCAAAGCCTGATGAGTTTCTCAGACCTGTGTCAAACCTCCGTGCCCTGATATAAACACATGCGTATGTGTGTATGTGTATATATATATGTACATAAATCCATACATCCATCCATACATACAGAAGACAAATAGATGGATGGATGGATGGATGGATGGATGGACGGATGGATGGATGGATCGATCAAGAACAGATACATAGATACTAAGTGAATGATTTTTTTCATATTTGCTCACCTAATGTTTCTAGGAACTTTTGCCTCAGAGGTAGAAGGTAGCACTGGCAATTTTGTGGCGCCAATGTAAGTGCCAATATTTGTGAAGGATCCATGGCTGCAGAAACTGACGCTTTTGGAGCATGTGTATTCCTTATTTGATTTACTGTATTTGGATGTATTTGGTGTATACCCTTCTTCGCAACTGTGATTTCAAATCAGCGACCTACAGCCATGATTTTGGGCCAGAGTTTGGTGACATATCCGCGCCAGAAGCGGTAACGTTCAAGTTGTGTACTCACAAGAATAAAGAAGAGACGGCCATCACCACTTCCAACTATTGTTCAGAAAACGTTCGCACTTGGAAACGGTGCAGTGTACATTTCCTTCACAGAATAGCATGCTACAAATACGGGGATGTTACCAAAGTTGCCTCAGCAACAGACATCAACAGACCATCAAATGATGGACTGAAGTTGAGGCCAAATGTTCAAACACTTCCCATATCGTTGGATGCACTGACTTTTGGAGTTGACTATCTTGAGAGAATTCGAAAATCTACTGTACATATTAAATGTTTCAAGTGTTTCAAACTAGAATGAAAACACTAGATCAGGTTTCATCCCGAGGTTTGGTACACGAAGTGTTTTCGATGTGTTTGTTTTCTTGTTTTCGCCAGGCAGTGTGGATGGGCAGTTATCAATCCATGCCCTGAGTGATCCCAAGACGTCGACCCGGCTGACGCGATACAAAGCGCAGGCAGCACGCCCCTTGGCTGAAACATGGCAGCGATTCGTTGTTCCTACGTGGGTTAAGACTCCTAAACTGGCCCTAAACTAACTGGGATGTAGAGGGATATGAAGTTACTAATCAATACTAATCATATAAACCCTAACTAAGTACTAAACTGGCCCTAAACGTAGTGA